ACACACACACACACACACACGGGTGTTTGTGCGTGTACGTATATGTATATACAGTCACAACCATGATTTCAAGTCGGTAATGCTTAACCAGACCTTCACTAACCTAGAAAAGTATCCACCTCAAAAGAGCAGTTTGTGCAACTTGACAAACCAGACAGTAAACATGTTTTAAATGAATTCAGTTCAAATGCTTTAACAAAGTACAAACCCTCCAGTATGATAGTTTAGTCTACATGACTTATCGACTTTTATTATTTTCTGTGGTAATCAGCAGCATGCTTGAGTGGTATTTAACATAGAATGTTCTTTTAACTAGGCAAGGAGAATAAGTGTTGAAGCTTCATTGAAAATAAAAAGGTTGCTCAAGGCTTTTAGAGTGGGAAGTTATCTTTGTTTCTTTCTCTCTTCTCTCTCTTTCTAAAGGCCCTGAAGGAGCAAACTTGTTCATCTACCATCTGCCACAAGAGTTTGGTGATCAGGATTTGCTACAGATGTTTATGCCTTTCGGCAATGTTATCTCTGCCAAGGTCTTTATTGACAAACAGACCAACCTTAGCAAGTGTTTTGGTGAGTTGAGCCCCGCTTCAGAAACATTGTGCTTGTTTTGTCTTGATTTTTGAATTCTGAAATCAGATACAAGACTTGGATGTATATTTTGTGCAGTGGGTAACGAGAGTCTGGTTCTGTTCTTTTTTTGTTTTTGTTTTTTTTAGGCTTTGTTAGTTACGACAATCCAGTTTCGTCCCAGGCAGCCATTCAGTCAATGAACGGTTTTCAGATTGGAATGAAGCGACTGAAGGTGCAACTTAAGCGATCCAAAAATGACAGCAAGCCATACTGAGTCATTTTACTCTCAAATGGACTTGGTTTAAAAAAGTTTTTCTGGTAAGTGGAGTGTGACGTTGGAAAGTTAGAATGACCCCACCCACCCTTAACACCCGCCTTTCCTAATCCTTCTTTTACTTCTCTGGCCTTTCCTACATATCTTCTGTCTTAACCTTCAAAACAAAGACAACATGCAAATTAAGAATTTGTTCCTAGGAGAAAAGAGTTCTTTTTTTTCATATTTATAGATCTAATTGTTTTGTTGATCTTTTATTTTCCCTTAAATCTTTTATTTTATTTTATTTATTATTGTTTTTATTTTTATTGTGCCATATTACAAGTTTGCTGTGTATAAATCTTGAATCAAAGGATGTTGCACAGTGAAGGCCAGCCTGTGTGACTGCTTTCTGTCACTTAGACTGTTAATCACCACTGGTCTGGCCCCTGTAGATGTTCTCCTGTGTTTACACTAGACTCTTGTAGTACATTGGGACAGTGTAATGCTGATGCCTCCTACAATGCTGCCTTTCTAGAAAATGAAGGAGGCTTGCTGCATCGGTGCAAAAGATAATCAATCAGTCACCTGAATATTGTTTTGAGCATCTGGAAGGTCAGGCTGCACTCCACTAGACTCCGTTTTCATGGATGCCTTTTTATTTAATTCATGTATTTATTTCACAAATTTATTTATTTATTTTTCATGTATCTGTGTCTTCACAATGAGGGTGATGTAACATTGCTTCAAAGTCTGTTTTATGTATTCTGTTGGAGGGCTCAGCTAACAACAGTAATGTTGATTCTTTCTGTTTGCTTTTATTCACATTAATATTTTTACATTCTAGAAAGACAAACACTAAGCAAGGGTATTATATCACATATATTATATCATTCAGTATTGGTAGTTTGCAGGAGATGCTACACTTAAGCTCAGGACATTCTCACCGTTCTGTCAGACCAAAACTTCTTGCCCATTATTTTACTCACCTGGTACACGAAAATACCTAAAGAACATGTATGAAAGAGTGCTTCATTTCAGTTCATGAATCCTTTCTTAAAGCCTCAAAGAAAAACAAAACATTTTTTTGACCCAAGATTTTTATTCTTTGGAAATTGCTGAAGAATCACATGGTAGCGCGTATGGTTTTAAAATGGCTTTTGTATAGATTTTTTTTTAGCAAAGACACAATCTTCAGCGCGTGTTTTTTAAATTTTATTTTGATGGTCGTTTGATACATTATCCTACGCCTCAATTCAAGAGGTTGGCATTGAAGCTTTTAGCAATATCTGCATTCTGGAGAAGAGAGATGATACTGCCAAGAACAGAAGGAAGGAAGTTTACAATTGCTGAATTCATAGCCACTTAATTGTCAGAATAATTTGAACTGAAATTTCGTAACGTTTGTCAAGTATTTTATCTCGGTGTTCGCAGGTGGTCTCTTGTACCCTGGTGTATTGAGACTCGTCCTGCAATCCTCATCACACTTTGTATTTATAAGTTACTCCATGCAACTTGTTTTAGTTGATCATGGCAGTAAATAAGTGTTCAAATTGTAATCGGATGTTGATGCTAATCTGAATCCTGCAGGGTCGTGAGGTGAGATTGTTTTTATGGAAACTGAGAAGAAAACATTATCCAGATTGTGTATATTACTTAACTATTATGCCTTTTCTATTTTTATAGGGGTTTTATAATATTGCCTAAATAATTTCTCTGAATTAAAACGGTTGTTTGAAAAAAATCAACTCAAAAGATTCGACAGTGTTTTTGTAGACTCCTAACGTGAAGTTTTGTGGATACATTCAACGGATGTGTGGCCCTTTTCACTAGTTGTAGTCGTCGGTTTAGTCAAAAAAAATAATTGTACCAAGAGTCGTTTTTAAATTCTGAAGCAAATCCACGGTTCAGTCTAAAGTTTATACTCCGTGTAATATCTCTAAACTATTTACATGTGTAGTGACGAATGCTGAAATGTGCTATTATCAGAAATCATTTAATTTTCTCACAACATAGCTTGAGCTCGGAGTTGCAATTAGTGAAAATTGTATTTTGTAGGCTGTTTTCTTTTTGTTTTGACATTTACCTCACTATTGTCGTCACTGTTCGAGAACGCTTTGTATTTATTAACAGTGCTTTTTATTTTCACGGATTAATTGCAAATAAGCCAATTCTTGTTAACCTCACAATCTTTCTATTTTCTACGAGTACAGACACGCATCTCAATCCAGGTGAGGAAACGAGTTTGCCACTATTGCGACTTGTACAGATATGCCGGTCTGTATGCCTCACCGTTTGTTTCATGCACTAGAGACGCTTTAGACTGAACCCAAGTGTGAAGCCCCTCTTGAAGCGCTTAGATGCTAGTGCAGGGAATGGCCAGTCCCTGATCTGTGCCTCTGTTCAAATAAACACATGATTTACGTGCATTACAAATCATTAAGTGGAAGAAAAATGGGAAGGCCTCGGACATGTCTGGGTGCAAAACAAATCACCATTTTGACCAATCCAAAGATTCTTGTGAACTTGTTCTAGGCAGGGATTTTTGTTTGTTAGGCAGAATTTTTTTTTCAGTTTTGTTCCTTTTATCCAGAGCAGATTGACAGGCGTTTGTGCAACGTTCTGCGGATTTGTGCGCCTTAAAACAGCTCACAAATGCAGAGTAGTTCCACTAATGTGCCAAACACATCAAGTCTTAAATTTCTGTATATGTTTAATGATGATCCTCTGTTCCTTGCTCTGTGTCCCATCATGTTGTTGTTCAATGTAGCTAAATTGTGTCCATTTGTGTTACCCATGGCAGGTGTTTTGTGATTGAGAACCAATATGAGCAGCTCCAAATATGCATTATTCCACAGTCCCACACAATTCAAAATTGAAGCACAAAATAAAAGGACTTTCACTGAAAGAGCTGAAACATTAAAGCACAATTTTTCTTTTGGTTTCTCTTTCCCTTGGTCTAAAATCGAAATGTGGTTGTGAGAAATTGAACATTGAAATGTCTCTGTTGAAGACAGTGTTGTCGTAGCTGTAGTAGGCAGGTTGTGTTGTCTCTCGGTGGTGTTGTTGTTTAATGTTATTCCCTTTGTTCACTATTGGCATGGTGCTTATCTCCCCCTCTTTCTTCCCACTTTTCTTCGTTTCCTGTGTTGCATTCAATGTTTTGTGTTTAGATGACGTGTGCACCTTTGAAATCCCCCTCCTCATGCAAAAATAATCATTCATGATTTTCTTTTTCATCCCCTCTCCTTTTTCCGTTGTGCTTTAACCTAGGTTTGTTATTCGTTTTTTTTGTTTTTGTTCTAGATATCTTCGTGCCCGTTTGTCATCGTTTG